AACGTCACTTTTGAAGTGTTTTCTTGTACTTTTAAGCCACTCAGATACCCAACGGGCTCGGAAAGTGCAACGAAACCATAAAATTTTAGCTAGAAACTGTATTTTTGTCGATTTTTATTGAATTTGAACTATATTTCAACGTTTTTTGATGGTTCTGAGCCACCAAACACACTTAAAGCATGCAGAATCGACTCAGAATAGGAAAAGGAGACGTTTAGGTCAATTTTATGCATTCTGGCGTTCGTAGATACAAGAAAACTGTTAAAATTCTTCAGAAACGTCACTTTTGAAGTGTTTTCTTGTACTTTTAAGCCACTCAGATACCCTACGGGCTCGGAAAGTGCAACGAAACCATCAAATTTTAGCTAGAAACTGTATTTTTGTCGATTTTTATTGAATTTGAACTATATTTCAACGTTTTTTGATGGTTCTGAGCCACCAAACACACTTAAAGCATGCAGAATCGACTCAGAATAGGAAAAGGAGACGTTTAGGTCAATTTTATGCATTCTGGCGTTCGTAGATACAAGAAAACTGTTAAAATTCTTCAGAAACGTCACCTTTGAAGTGTTTTCTTGTACTTTTAAGCCACTCAGATACCCTACGGGCTCGGAAAGTGCAACGAAACCATCAAATTTTAGCTAGAAACTGTATTTTTGTCGATTTTTATTGAATTTGAACTATATTTCAACGTTTTTTGATGGTTCTGAGCCACCAAACACACTTAAAGCATGCAGAATCGACTCAGAATAGGAAAAGGAGACGTTTAGGTCAATTTTATGCATTCTGGCGTTCGTAGATACAAGAAAACTGTTAAAATTCTTCAGAAACGTCACTTTTGAAGTGTTTTCTTGTACTTTTAAGCCACTCAGATACCCAACGGGCTCGGAAAGTGCAACGAAACCATCAAATTTTAGCTAGAAACTGTATTTTTGTCGATTTTTATTGAATTTGAACTATATTTCAACGTTTTTTGATGGTTCTGAGCCACCAAACACACTTAAAGCATGCAGAATCGACTCAGAATAGGAAAAGGAGACGTTTAGGTCAATTTTATGCATTCTGGCGTTCGTAGATACAAGAAAACTGTTAAAATTCTTCAGAAACGTCACTTTTGAAGTGTTTTCTTGTACTTTTAAGCCACTCAGATACCCTACGGGCTCGGAAAGTGCAACGAAACCATAAAATTTTAGCTAGAAACTGTATTTTTGTCGATTTTTATTGAATTTGAACTATATTTCAACGTTTTTTGATGGTTCTGAGCCACCAAACACACTTAAAGCATGCAGAATCGACTCAGAATAGGAAAAGGAGACGTTTAGGTCAATTTTATGCATTCTGGCGTTCGTAGATACAAGAAAACTGTTAAAATTCTTCAGAAACGTCACTTTTGAAGTGTTTTCTTGTACTTTTAAGCCACTCAGATACCCTACGGGCTCGGAAAGTGCAACGAAACCATCAAATTTTAGCTAGAAACTGTATTTTTGTCGATTTTTATTGAATTTGAACTATATTTCAACGTTTTTTGATGGTTCTGAGCCACCAAACACACTTAAAGCATGCAGAATCGACTCAGAATAGGAAAAGGAGACGTTTAGGTCAATTTTATGCATTCTGGCGTTCGTAGATACAAGAAAACTGTTAAAATTCTTCAGAAACATCACTTTTGAAGTGTTTTCTTGTACTTTTAAGCCACTCAGATACCCTACGGGCTCGGAAAGTGCAACGAAACCATCAAATTTTAGCTAGAAACTGTATTTTTGTCGATTTTTATTGAATTTGAACTATATTTCAACGTTTTTTGATGGTTCTGAGCCACCAAACACACTTAAAGCATGCAGAATCGACTCAGAATAGGAAAAGGAGACGTTTAGGTCAATTTTATGCATTCTGGCGTTCGTAGATACAAGAAAACTGTTAAAATTCTTCAGAAACGTCACTTTTGAAGTGTTTTCTTGTACTTTTAAGCCACTCAGATACCCTACGGGCTCGGAAAGTGCAACGAAACCATCAAATTTTAGCTAGAAACTGTATTTTTGTCGATTTTTATTGAATTTGAACTATATTTCAACGTTTTTTGATGGTTCTGAGCCACCAAACACACTTAAAGCATGCAGAATCGACTCAGAATAGGAAAAGGAGACGTTTAGGTCAATTTTATGCATTCTGGCGTTCGTAGATACAAGAAAACTGTTAAAATTCTTCAGAAACGTCACTTTTGAAGTGTTTTCTTGTACTTTTAAGTCACTCAGATACCCTACGGGCTCGGAAAGTGCAACGAAACCATCAAATTTTAGCTAGAAACTGTATTTTTGTCGATTTTTATTGAATTTGAACTATATTTCAACGTTTTTTGATGGTTCTGAGCCACCAAACACACTTAAAGCATGCAGAATCGACTCAGAATAGGAAAAGGAGACGTTTAGGTCAATTTTATGCATTCTGGCGTTCGTAGATACAAGAAAACTGTTAAAATTCTTCAGAAACGTCACTTTTGAAGTGTTTTCTTGTACTTTTAAGCCACTCAGATACCCTACGGGCTCGGAAAGTGCAACGAAACCATCAAATTTTAGCTAGAAACTGTATTTTTGTCGATTTTTATTGAATTTGAACTATATTTCAACGTTTTTTGATGGTTCTGAGCCACCAAACACACTTAAAGCATGCAGAATCGACTCAGAATAGGAAAAGGAGACGTTTAGGTCAATTTTATGCATTCTGGCGTTCGTAGATACAAGAAAACTGTTAAAATTCTTCAGAAACGTCACTTTTGAAGTGTTTTCTTGTACTTTTAAGCCACTCAGATACCCAACGGGCTCGGAAAGTGCAACGAAACCATCAAATTTTAGCTAGAAACTGTATTTTTGTCGATTTTTATTGAATTTGAACTATATTTCAACGTTTTTTGATGGTTCTGAGCCACCAAACACACTTAAAGCATGCAGAATCGACTCAGAATAGGAAAAGGAGACGTTTAGGTCAATTTTATGCATTCTGGCGTTCGTAGATACAAGAAAACTGTTAAAATTCTTCAGAAACGTCACTTTTGAAGTGTTTTCTTGTACTTTTAAGCCACTCAGATACCCTACGGGCTCGGAAAGTGCAACGAAACCATCAAATTTTAGCTAGAAACTGTATTTTTGTCGATTTTTATTGAATTTGAACTATATTTCAACGTTTTTTGATGGTTCTGAGCCACCAAACACACTTAAAGCATGCAGAATCGACTCAGAATAGGAAAAGGAGACGTTTAGGTCAATTTTATGCATTCTGGCGTTCGTAGATACAAGAAAACTGTTAAAATCCTTCAGAAACGTCACTTTTGAAGTGTTTTCTTGTACTTTTAAGCCACTCAGATACCCTACGGGCTCGGAAAGTGCAACTAAACCATCAAATTTTAGCTAGAAACTGTATTTTTGTCGATTTTTATTGAATTTGAACTATATTTCAACGTTTTTTGATGGTTCTGAGCCACCAAACACACTTAAAGCATGCAGAATCGACTCAGAATAGGAAAAGGAGACGTTTAGGTCAATTTTATGCATTCTGGCGTTCCTAGATACAAGAAAACTGTTAAAATTCTTCAGAAACGTCACTTTTGAAGTGTTTTCTTGTACTTTTAAGCCACTCAGATACCCTACGGGCTCGGAAAGCGCAACGAAACCATCAAATTTTAGCTAGAAACTGTATTTTTGTCGATTTTTATTGAATTTGAACTATATTACAAAGTTTTTTGATGGTTCTGAGCCACCAAACACACTTAAAGCATGCAGAATCGACTCAGAATAGGAAAAGGAGACGTTTAGGTCAATTTTATGCATTCTGGCGTTCGTAGATACAAGAAAACTGTTAAAATTCTTCAGAAACGTCAGTTTTGAAGTGTTTTCTTGTACTTTTAAGCCACTCAGATACCCTACGGACTCGGAAAGTGCAACGAAACCATCAAATTTTAGCTAGAAACTGTATTTTTGTCGATTTTTATTGAATTTGAACTATATTTCAACGTTTTTTGATGGTTCTGAGCCACCAAACACACTTAAAGCATGCAGAATCGACTCAGAATAGGAAAAGGAGACGTTTAGGTCAATTTTATGCATTCTGGCGTTCGTAGATACAAGAAAACTGTTAAAATTCTTCAGAAACGTCACTTTTGAAGTGTTTTCTTGTACTTTTAAGCCACTCAGATACCCTACGGGCTCGGAAAGTGCAACGAAACCATCAAATTTTAGCTAGAAACTGTATTTTTGTCGATTTTTATTGAATTTGAACTATATTTCAACGTTTTTTGATGGTTCTGAGCCACCAAACACACTTAAAGCATGCAGAATCGACTCAGAATAGGAAAAGGAGACGTTTAGGTCAATTTTATGCATTCTGGCGTTCGTAGATACAAGAAAACTGTTAAAATTCTTCAGAAACGTCACTTTTGAAGTGTTTTCTTGTACTTTTAAGCCACTCAGATACCCTACGGGCTCGGAAAGTGCAACGAAACCATCAAATTTTAGCTAGAAACTATATTTTTGTCGATTTTTATTGAATTTGTACTATATTTCAACGTTTTTTGATGGTTCTGAGCCACCAAACACACTTAAAGCATGCAGAATCGACTCAGAATAGGAAAAGGAGACGTTTAGGTCAATTTTATGCATTCTGGCGTTCGTAGATACAAGAAAACTGTTAAAATTCTTCAGAAACGTCACTTTTGAAGTGTTTTCTTGTACTTTTAAGCCACTCAGATACCCTACGGGCTCGGAAAATGCAACGAAACCATCAAATTTTAGCTAGAAATAAATAACAACTCCCAATTTTGACCTGCTGGGTTCTTTCGCTCAAGTAACTCTTAAACCATTCAAGTAAATTTCCGGCAATACCATAAGCTTGTAACTTTTGAATAAGGATATAGTGATTCACCTTGTCGAATGCTTTGCTAAAATCTGTATATATCGCATGTACCTCAGATCCTTTGCCTATCGCGTTGATGATAAAATTGACATAGCCGATTAAGTTAGTAATTGTAGATCGACGTTGAAAAAACCCGTGTTGTTCTTCCACTAAAACATTTCTCAAAAGGGGAGTAACCTTCGAACAAACAACTCTCTCGAATACCTTGCTAACAGAAGAGAGAATCGAAATAGGGCGGTAATTGACAATTTCTGTTATTGATCCAGATTTGAAAATCGGGACTAAATAGGCATGCGTCCATGCTGCCGGGAAAATGCCTGAACTTAATGACATATTGAATAAAACATGCAATGGTAGTACTAGACTGTCCTTACAATTTTTGAGTAAAACAGGTGGTACGCCGTCAGGACCGCAGCCTTTGCTGACATCTAGATTTCGCAAGGCAAGATCTATTTCGCAAGCGTGTATAGTGATAATACTAAGATCTACAGAAATGTCCGACTTTAAGTGAGATTTTACAAATTTGGAGTCGTCATACACCGAGTAAAAGTAGTCCATAAAGGCATTGCTAATATCAGTTTCACTAGTTAAAATGGACTCTCTATATTTCATCTGTGGAGGTAAAGATGTTCGCGTTTTAGTTCTGATAAATTTCCAGAATTTCTTTGGGTGCCTTTTTAAGTCCGTCTCTAAATTATTTAAATACGATGTGTAAGATGCCTTTATGCTCTCCTTACACTGGCTTCTCAACTTGTCAAATTTTAAATAGTCCGCACCACTTTTACTAGCTTTGTACTGTTTGTGGGCAGCTTTTTTCATTTTAACTAATGATATTGAACGGGAGTTAAACCATGCGGGGTAGGTTGATTTAAATTTATAACTAACAGGAACGAACAGAACAATTGCTTGATACAGAAAAGAATATAAACTGTCAAGTGCCTCATTAACATTAGAGGCGGATGAAAAAATTTCTAGCCAGCTAATGTTACTTAAAAACCTGCCTATTTCTTCATAGTTTGCTCGTTTGAAATTGTAAAAGGAATCGATACTATTGTACAATAAATTATCCTGGTAACTATCTAGATACACAACAAAGCAAGGGTGGTAAACATCAAGTTTAGAAATAGCGGCACATTTTACCAATTCGATGCCACTGCAGTTACAGAAACATAGATCAAGAATTTTGCCATTAGCGTTTTCAATGTTGTTGAGCTGGTTAAAACACAAATTAAAATAATTATCACAAACACAAATTTCGCATTCATTTGTAATATTGGTTGGAAGAAGCCCATCGAAATCTGGCTCATGAGTCCATACAATATTTGGCAGATTAAAATCGCCGACGACTACTATGTCACAGTTTCGATTTAAATCGCAGATACTCTGAACAGACAGCATATGTGCATTGTAAGTTTCGACAGCAGATTTGGGAGGCAGGTATATGCAACCTATGATGAGAGAGCGTGAGGGGATACAAACTTTCACCCACACCTGTTCAGTCACTGAGTCCTCACTAGACACTTGCGAACATTTATATTTGTTGTTTATTGCTAAGAGAACACCTCCACCGCGACTTTTAGAACTATTTTGAGCATTACGGTCGTTCCTAAAAACATTATACCTGGTGTCTAATATTTCGCTGCTGTGTATGTCTGGTGATAGCCAGGTTTCAGTGAAAGCCAGGGCACAAAAGTTCTCTCCTAATACTTCACAATAGATGTCACTAAGCTTAGATCTGATGCCTCTGGTGTTCTGATAATAGACAGAGAATTTTGGGATTTCCTGATCAGAACCGTTGGTATCCAGCACAATGTTGCCTTTCATCCCATTTATTGAGCTTAGGTAGTTTTCTCTAAAAAAGATTTAGTTGAAAAATTGAAGCGCCTTACAACGACGCCCTGGGGCCAGAATTCTTCCTTGAACAGGGTATCTTTGTAGGCGAACTTCACACCAACCCTGAAAGACTGGTAGGATCCTTGAGTATTAAGCTTATCCACCGTCACTTCATCCGAGGGGAGCTTTCCACTAATGTATGATTTGACATCATCACTGCTTGTCTCTTTGTTAACCTTGCCGACATAAAACCAGGCTTTCTTCACATATGTTGACCTGAAATTACTCTCCGATGCCGATGCAGCAACGGACGTTCCTATTATGGGCGGAGGCTGCTTCTTCCTATTTCTTCGCGAACGTCGAGGTACGCTCCATTTTTCTTCAACGCTGACGTTCGAGAGACTGTCTTCTACTTCCGAATGCCAAGTGCGAGAGGGAGGCGTCTGAGGAACAGCTGATGTTTGTTTACAACCTTTATCATCATTTCTTATATTTTCGTTTCTTGTATGCAATTTCTCATGATTACTTATAATAAAACCTGGTTTTTTCGACATTGGTTCAGTTCTTTTCTGTCCAACGTATGACGATGGAATAGGGTCCACTTTTTTCAATTTTGAGGAGAAAAGCGATTTATTATCTGATACATTAGCACTGGTTAGAACTTTAACCAGGTCGATGTTACTTTCTTTGAGGGAAATAATCTCTGCTCGAAGGTACTTGATTTCCTCTAAAAGCGGTTCCATTGCTTTCTTTATTAAAACCGAAATATCCACAGTACTATTTGTAGGAGATGAGTGCAGGGATAGATTCACCGAATCCAATTCGTTTTTCGACGAGCCATCGACGTTATCGCAGCATATTATCTGCGTATCACTGATAAGCTTGATGTTTTTTAATATTTTCACACAACTGGGATGGCTTAACGAACCACATTTTACACATAATAACCCACTAACCGGTAAAATTTTACACTTCCTACACGGAAGTCCGGAGAGAGCTGGAAACACGTCTTTACTCTGTGACATCTCACACTCGTGAGATGTCAATTTTATGCATTCTGGCGTTCGTAGATACAAGAAAACTGTTAAAATTCTTCAGAAACGTCACTTTTAAAGTGTTTTCTTATACTTTTAAGCCACTCAGATATCCTACAGGCTCGGAAAGTGCAACGAAACCATAAAATTTTAGCTAGAAACTGTATTTTTGTCGATTTTTATTGAATTTGAACTATATTTCAACGTTTTTTGATGGTTCTGAGCCACCAAACACACTTAAAGCATGCAGAATCGACTCAGAATAGAAAAAGGAGACGTTTAGGTCAATTTTATGCATTCTGGCGTTCGTAGATACAAGAAAACTGTTAAAATTCTTCAGAAACGTCACTTTTGAAGTGTTTTCTTGTACTTTTAAGCCACTCAGATACCCTACGGGCTCGGAAAGTGCAACGAAACCATCAAATTTTAGCTAGAAACTGTATTTTTGTCGATTTTTATTGAATTTGAACTATATTTCAACGTTTTTTGATGGTTCTGAGCCACCAAACACACTTAAAGCATGCAGAATCGACTCAGAATAGGAAAAGGAGACGTTTAGGTCAATTTTATGCATTCTGGCGTTCGTAGATACAATAAAACTGTTAAAATTCTTCAGAAACGTCACTTTTGAAGTGTTTTCTTGTACTTTTAAGCCACTCAGAAACCCTACGGTCTCGGAAAGTGCAACGAAACCATCAAATTTTAGCTAGAAACTGTATTTTTGTCGATTTTTATTGAATTTGAACTATATTTCAACGTTTTTTGATGGTTCTGAGCCACCAAACACACTTAAAGCATGCAGAATCGACTCAGAATTGGAAAAGGAGACGTTTAGGTCAATTTTATGCATTCTGGCGTTCGTAGATACAAGAAAACTGTTAAAATTCTTCAGAAACGTCACTTTTGAAGTGTTTTCTTGTACTTTTAAGCCACTCAGATACCCTACGGGCTCGGAAAGTGCAACGAAACCATCAAATTTTAGCTAGAAACTGTATTTTTGTCGATTTTTATTGAATTTGAACTATATTTCAACGTTTTTTGATGGTTCTGAGCCACCAAACACACTTAAAGCATGCAGAATCGACTCAGAATAGGAAAAGGAGACGTTTAGGTCAATTTTATGCATTCTGGCGTTCGTAGATACAAGAAAACTGTTAAAATTCTTCAGAAACGTCACTTTTGAAGTGTTTTCTTGTACTTTTAAGCCACTCAGATACCCTACGGGCTCGGAAAGTGCAACGAAACCATCAAATTTTAGCTTGAAACTGTATTTTTGTCGATTTTTATTGAATTTGAACTATATTTCAACGTTTTTTGATGGTTCTGTGCCACCAAACACACTTAAAGCATGCAGAATCGACTCAGAATAGGAAAAGGAGACGTTTAGGTCAATTTTATGCATTCTGGCGTTCGTAGATACAAGAAAACTGTTAAAATTCTTCAGAAACATCACTTTTGAAGTGTTTTCTTGTACTTTTAAGCCACTCAGATACCCGACGGGCTCGGAAAGTGCAACGAAACCATCAAATTTTAGCTAGAAACTGTATTTTTGTCGATTTTTATTGAATTTGAACTATATTTCAACGTTTTTTGATGGTTCTGAGCCACCAAACACACTTAAAGCATGCAGAATCGACTCAGAATAGGAAAAGGAGACGTTTAGGTCAATTTTATGCATTCTGGCGTTCGTAGATACAAGAAAACTGTTAAAATTCTTCAGAAACGTCACTTTTGAAGTGTTTTCTTGTACTTTTAAGCCACTCAGATACCCTACGGGCTCGGAAAGTGCAACGAAACCATCAAATTTTAGCTAGAAACTGTATTTTTGTCGATTTTTATTGAATTTGAACTATATTTCAACGTTTTTTGATGGTTCTGAGCCACCAAACACACTTAAAGCATGCAGAATCGACTCAGAATAGGAAAAGGAGACGTTTAGGTCAATTTTATGCATTCTGGCGTTCGTAGATACAAGAAAACTGTTAAAATTCTTCAGAAACGTCACTTTTGAAGTGTTTTCTTGTACTTTTAAGCCACTCAGATACCCTACGGGCTCGGAAAGTGCAACGAAACCATCAAATTTTAGCTAGAAACTATATTTTTGTCGATTTTTATTGAATTTGAACTATATTTCAACGTTTTTTGATGGTTCTGAGCCACCAAACACACTTAAAGCGTGCAGAATCGACTCAGAATAGGAAAAGGAGACGTTTAGGTCAATTTTATGCATTCTGGCGTTCGTAGATACAAGAAAACTGTTAAAATTCTTCAGAAACGTCACTTTTGAAGTGTTTTCTTGTACTTTTAAGCCACTCAGATACCCTACGGGCTCGGAAAGTGCAACCAAACCATCAAATTTTAGCTAGAAACTGTATTTTTGTCAATTTTTATTGAATTTGAACTATATTTCAACGTTTTTTGATGGTTCTGAGCCACCAAACACACTTAAAGCATGCAGAATCGACTCAGAATAGGAAAAGGAGACGTTTAGGTCAATTTTATGCATTCTGGCGTTCGTAGATACAAGAAAACTGTTAAAATTCTTCAGAAACGTCAATTTTGAAGTGTTTTCTTGTACTTTTAAGCCACTCAGATACCCTACGGGCTCGGAAAGTGCAACGAAACCATCAAATTTTAGCTAGAAACTGTATTTTTGTCGATTTTTATTGAATTTGAACTATATTTCAACGTTTTTTGATGGTTCTGAGCCACCAAACACACTTAAAGCATGCAGAATCGACTCAGAATAGGAAAAGGAGACGTTTAGGTCAATTTTATGCATTCTGGCGTTCGTAGATACAAGAAAACTGTTAAAATTCTTCAGAAACGTCACTTTTGAAGTGTTTTCTTGTACTTTTAAGCCACTCAGATACCCTACGGGCTCGGAAAGTGCAACGAAACCATCAAATTTTAGCTAGAAACTGTATTTTTGTCGATTTTTATTGAATTTGAACTATATTTCAACGTTTTTTGATGGTTCTGAGCCACCAAACACACTTAAAGCATGCAGAATCGACTCAGAATAGGAAAAGGAGACGTTTAGGTCAATTTTATGCATTCTGGCGTTCGTAGATACAAGAAAACTGTTAAAATTCTTCAGAAACGTCACTTTTGAAGTGTTTTCTTGTACTTTTAAGCCACTCAGATACCCTACGGGCTCGGAAAGTGCAACCAAACCATCAAATTTTAGCTAGAAACTGCATTTTTGTCAATTTTTATTGAATTTGAACTATATTTCAACGTTTTTTGATGGTTCTGAGCCACCAAACACACTTAAAGCATGCAGAATCGACTCAGAATAGGAAAAGGAGACGTTTAGGTCAATTTTATGCATTCTGGCGTTCGTAGATACAAGAAAACTGTTAAAATTCTTCAGAAACGTCACTTTTGAGTGTTTTCTTGTACTTTTAAGCCACTCAGATACCCTACGGGCTCGGAAAGTGCAACGAAACCATCAAATTTTAGCTAGAAACTGTATTTTTGTCGATTTTTATTGAATTTGAACTATATTTCAACGTTTTTTGATGGTTCTGAGCCACCAAACACACCTAAAGCATGCAGAATCGACTCAGAATAGGAAAAGGAGACGTTTAGGTCAATTTTATGCATTCTGGCGTTCGTAGATACAAGAAAACTGTTAAGATTCTTCAGAAACGTCACTTTTGAAGTGTTTTCTTGTACTTTTAAGCCACTCAGATACCCTACGGGCTCGGAAAGTGCAACGAAACCATCAAATTTTAGCTAGAAACTGTATTTTTGTCGATTTTTATTGAATTTGAACTATATTTCAACGTTTTTTGATGGTTCTGAGCCACCACACACACTTAAAGCATGCAGAATCGACTCAGAATAGGAAAAGGAGACGTTTAGGTCAATTTTATGCATTCTGGCGTTCGTAGATACAAGAAAACTGTTAAAATTCTTCAGAAACGTCACTTTTGAAGTGTTTTCTTGTAC